GGGTGGGTTCCATTAATCCTTTCCCTTGAAGACTTGGAATGGTGGAAGGGAATTTCATTTTATTTAACAAATTAAGTCAATGCATTTTTTCTGTAATCATTAATATAAATGGTATATATAATTGAACTATCATAGATAGATCATATATATCCCCTTCTCATTGTAATGTAAGAGCCAAGCAGTAGGTTTAATTCTCCTCTTCTTTTTTCTATGTAAATAGGAAACATAATATATATCCCGTCTAATACTATTGCCAAAAAAGCTAAGACTTTGGATCAGGATATCTTTTTTTCTAATTTTTACTCTGATGGGGTTCCTGATGTAAAAAAACTTTGTGAATTTGGTAGTGTTATGACATTTTGCTTTTAGTTTCAAAAGAAAAAAAAAAAGTAACAGGTGTCATATGTCATGTCATTCCTGTTAGTCGGTATAACTTGGGGTAACATTGTACTGAAGTTGGCCACTTTTCACTATGATGAGTGACGTTAACAATGAATATATAATGCTCATGTTTACTGGGACTTTGAGAGGAAAAATACAAATTAAGAATTATATATAGAGTTTAACTACACTGCATTCATTTAAATCTCAATCATTCACACATCTTTTTATTATATATGATGGATGCATATCTTAGATTTTTCCTTTTTGGAGCAGACTAAAAACGAAAAGTGGCCATAATACATATTTAAAATCTATATCATATGAGCTATGATATATCATCACTTCATGACATCAAATGTAAATTAAATAGAATTTACTCATGACCATTTTATATAAATTATGTATCGATAATTATTTCTTTTATTTTGCGAGTGACATGTCGTAGGGGGTAGGACCCCAGTTGTCGGGTGGTGCCCTTGTTGGCTTGTTTCAGAATTCCACGAGACAAGGACGGTGAGAAAAGGGGTAACAGTTCCAAGTTTGTTGTCCATTTAATTTTACAAGGATATGTCTACCACACCCCCTATAGGACTATGATGAGTCAGTCACTCACCCCATGTCCTATGATGTGATAAGTCTCTTCATGTCATCTAACTCCCATTATATATGTATATATTAGTGGAGGGGCCCTATGTTGTAGGGGCTCGTTTATAAACTATCAGGCTTAAGCTCGATTCGAATTAGAGATTTGAGTTCAGCTTGAATCAAAAGCTCAAAAGTTCGAGTTCAACTATCTTTGATTACAGGTATCTCAAGTAGTAGAGGTGTCGAGCCGAGGTCTCACTCAATTGCGGATGTACCAAATCGAGGTCTTCCTTAGCTGTTGAAGTATCGAACAGAGGTTTCCCTAATAGGCGAGGTGTCGAGCTAAGGTCTCCCTTAGTTGATAAGGTGTCGAACTGAAGTCTCCCTCAGTGGTCAATGTGTCATCTAGCTTGAACTTGATTTGAATTAGAGACTTGAGCTTGAGCTCGGCTCGGCTCGGCTCGAACTCGACTACCTTTGATTGCAAGTCCCATAGAAACCGAGATGAGGTCTCTCTCAGTTAGAGAGAGAGTGTCATTCTTGTAATTTATAAGGAGAGAGAGAAATATGGCATTCTTGTATTTTATAAGAAAAGAGAGAGAGAATGACATTCTTATAATTTCTATGAAAAAAAAGCAAAAAACACTATTAAATTCTATTTCCCTTATCCTCACGCCTTCTTAGATACACATAACACCATACACACACGCACAACATATATATATATTCATTCGCTACCAAACTCTTCTTCCATTATATATAATATGGTTAAGTTTAAGTTTAACCTATACTTGGTGCAGCAAATAAACATACACTCGAGTACTCACCACCAACAATCGCTGGTCGGTTTTCACTAGTCGGCATTACTTTGAGTGTAAACATCTGTAGCAGCCTAATAAAATAGGAGGTGTTTGGTACAGTGATGTTGTGTTATCCTGAAATACGTATTGTCACATCATATTTATGAATGCCATTTATATAAAAAATATTAAATTTGGTGTTTTAGATAGAAATAACAATCATCAATTTAAAATATTTCAAATGTAAACTTTTTTTTTCACACAAATTTGTATTGATCTATCCAAAGCACAACAACATAACGCCACTATACCAAACACCGCTAGGTGTTTCTAGCTTTTGTGTATACAAGTCATCGGTCTCACCTAGTCTTTGAGTTAATTTCCAATTGGGTTCATCTGGTTTGTCTAGTGGGTCCACCACGCTATGGAGTGGACCATGGTCCATTGGTTGGCGAATACTTAATATCATGTATGCATCTCACACCAACATGCATACGTTAGCTGTGGGAGGCTTAATTAGGGCCAATTGCAATTTTATTTAACCTTCTCAAGGGACTTGATGTATATTTTGTGAATTTCACTTTCTGTCGAATCACATACTTGGATTCTCCTATGTCAGTAATCTAGTTTCCAGCAATGACTAGTCTAAAATCTAAATAATAATGTTATTAAATTCCATTTTCATCACTGATCAATAAATAAAAACAACAGAACAAAGATAGTATTTATGGTCGAATAATTCGCCAAAAAGAAGATTGGGCTAATATTTAATTCCAGGATTCAAGCTGTATAGATATGGCCCAAGCCTAACACATTTTATAAACTGGGCTAAACGCTTAACTAATCAGCCCAGCCCATTTATTTCTTTACTGGATCAAAGTCCTCCCATTTATCTGCAATTGGATTAGTGCATAGGCATAGTTTCCCATAAACAGTTGGGCCCAATCAAAGTCAAACAGCCTGACACATTTCTGGGTTTAATAAGGTTGATATCAAATTCAAATGCCCAAATGAAATGACAAAGTGTTGTGTCTGGTCCAAGCCCCAATGTGCATCACCAATGATTAGTATTAGCCATCAATCAATAGTTTTTATTTAGGGAGAAGTACCAAACAGGGGAAATGCATTCTAACCATGAATTGATGTCAAATTCACGGTCAGAATGTGATTTATAAGGGAAGAGGGCTAGTTGTAAGGGGGGTTGGAATTCAGAATTCTGCATCCTGTGTTTTCCTATTTTTTCCTTTTACTTAAGGGTTTTCAGCAGATAAGGGCAATTTTTTGCCCTGAATATCAATAAAAGATAATACTTCTATAAAATAATTAAAATAAGATAATATTTTTTAAGCAATATACTGTTCATCGTCTTCTTCTTCCTCTGCCTCTGTGATTGTTTTTAATAGGTGGATGGACAATATACTCTGCCAAGTGCGGAGCTAGTGCGTGATAAACCAGTGACAAGCCAGGATACGACGGCGAAGCTAGTGTGATACAAGCCAGGATGCGACGGCGATCAGAGTGACAAGCCAGTGCAGCTGCGATACAAACCACGATTTAAACAAGCAATCTTAAGCAGCTATTACAGAGGCCGCCAGACTTGCTCACTAAGATGGGCGGAACAGCAACCGAGCATCGAAAGCTAAGCATATAAAAGACGTTGCCGGGAGAACGCCGCTTGTGCCCTACTCTGGCGGCCTCCTCGGGAGCAATTAAGCCCTTCCTGTCAAGACCGGAACAACAACCGCCTGTTCATCGTCTTGCCTGTTACAAAGGCCACCAGAGCTCTCAAAATAAGGCCGCCTGTTACGGAGGCTTGGGAGGAACAGCTCTAGCGGCCTCTCTGGGAGCAATTAAGCCCCTGGTGAGAGCTCTACGCCGCCTGTGCCCTGCTCCGTCCCTCGCATGAACAGTGTATTCGAATGAATACAGAGGCAGAGAGGCAGAGGAAGACAATAAATAGTGTCA